TGTGTGAGTACAGATATACAATTTTTCTTATTGAAGAATTATCGTATCGAGCGCTATTTACCAATATTCTAATGAATTCAATTTTACAATTTAGATTTAAACCAATAAGTCACTAAAGTTCATTAGGGACTAGTGATGTATTGCCAACTTAAGTTTGTCCTAAACTCATAACCTTTTTAATTCACGAAACACCCAACTTTGGTCTTTGTTTTTTTGCCAACTTAATCTTAAGCCCTTTTCATGAAGATGATAATAATTCTTTGTGTATTAGATCATTATTGTTTCTTTGTATAGTTCCTCTTTGTCTCTCCATATATAAATAGTAAGATATTATTGCAGAAATTTTTTCTTATTCTAATCACAATTCTTTGGAATTAACAAATACCACATAAATCGAAATCACGGATTGATCCGTGGTAACACGAAAACAATATTAGTGGAAACAATTATAATACAAGTACAGAGCAAACTTTCTTCATGTATAGTTGTAATAAAACTTGGATTTAAATTATCTAATACATTGTATCCCTAATTGATCAAGCTAATTAATCACATTTGAACCAGTTCAATTAGTGAAGTACATTTGGAATGATTTAACTTACTTTTGGAACCAACGAATCATGGGTAGTGGAAGTTTCGGATCGGGTATAAGGTATTTTTACTTTTATAATGTAAGAGTGCATAACGGAATTGCTTATGATTGAGGAGGAGTAAGCAATTGCTCATGTTACAGGTCATTCCCCATTAACTCAATTTAATTATTACCCAACAATTCACCACCTTTTCTATTAAAATTAGGGGTCTTATGAAAAATTATCCTTAACATAATCTATACATGTCATATTATCAATTATCAGCTCTTGGTTTTCTTTTTACTAATATGAGGAACCTTTCTGCATATAAATTAAGCACATATTAATTTAAAACTAATATGTTTCGTGCATCTTCCATATTATAAATACGGCATTGTAGAATTCTGGTCATTTTATATAATGCTTCAAACGCTTTTTAGTTGGCATTTGTGTTACCATTTTGGATTTTGTGTATCAACACATTTCTATATTGGTCTTTACACTACATCTTTCTGTTAATTTGTAACCTATTCAAAATTCTTTTTTAAAAAAGGCTTAAAATTATTGTTCGTGATATTTAATTAATTAACAATGGACGGAAACAATGCATCTTAAACCTACGAAAAAGTGTAGAAAGAAAGAAATTAAGTGTCTGATTGGTTGTGATAGTGTTGTGTGTGTAGATTGAGAGCATGTGTTACGTTGTACCTAAATTTATGTTATGTGAAAAAATCACAGTATACCACGATGATCTATCTGCTTTATATTTTATTGCATTGCAATTATGTTGTATTAAAGTTCGAGAATGTTTAATTCTCTCATTTTGTACTCTGATCGTTTAAATTAATAAAAAATTTGTTGACAAAAAAAAAAGAAATCACAGTAAATTTTATAATAATGGCTACAAAAAGAAACTTAAGAAATTAAATAAAAATATTGGGAGTTGTGAGTTTTGTATAGATCAACCCACCAACATGTTAACATGATTGGTAAAAAGAGTTCTTGGAGAATTAATTTACGGCATTTTTGTGGGTGAACAGAAATATGTTCCAAACTTATATAGATATTTGGAGTTCAAAATTTATCATCAAGAATCTTGTCTGCAGTGCCGAGTACCCGTAATATTTTATACATCCTACCAAAATTACGTTGAAAACAAATTAAACGTCTTTGCAGTACATATGTTTGTAATGTTTAGATCAACTACAATACTACAAATATACTATATTGTTTCAAATACAAACTGGTTACGAGATTTTCTCGGTTATCTAGTATACACCCTCCTCTAGTTTATTATACATATTGGTTATAACATACACTACAAGAAAACAAACAGTATTTCGACGGAATTTCTGACGGCCGAAATTTCCGTCGGAATTTTCCGACGGTATCCCGACGGATTTCCGAGCAAAATAAATCCGTCGGAAATCCGTCAGAATTTTGTGACGGATTTCCGACGGACACGGAAACCGTCGGTATTCCGTCGGAAATCCGTCGTCTTGTCCCGACGGATTTTCGACGGAAATAAACTGTCGTAATTTTCTGACGACTTTCCGACGGAATAACGACGGAAATCCAATTTTTCCGATGTCGGCAAAGTTTGATTGGTCAGTTCATACCGACGGAACTAATTCCGTCGGAAATTCGATGTCGTCAAATTTGAGTGGTTACCATTTCGTTAGCGGTGGCCGATGGGATTGGTGGGGTGTTATGTC